CTCTGGTTCCTCTGCCTTTTCTAAAAGCAGTTTGAACATCTGGAAGTTCACCGTTCACTTGTTCCCTTGGGATCTCTAATTTTCTTGAAGAGATCTCTAGTCTTTCCCATTCTGTCATTTTCTCTATTTCTTTGCATTGCTCGCTGAGAAAGGCTTTCTTATGTCTCCTTGCTATTCTTTGGAACTCTGCATTCAAATGGGAATATCTTTCCCTTTCTCCTTTGCTTTTCGCTTCTCTTCTTTTCATAGCTATTTGTAAGGCCTCCTCAGATAAGCATTTTGCCTTTTTGCACTTCTTTTCCACGGGGATGGTCTTGATCCTTGTCTCCTGTACAATGTCATGAACCTCCGTCCATAGTTCATCAGGCACTCTGTTGATCAGATCTAGTCCCTTAAATCTATTTCTCACTTTCCTGGTGGTTCAGACGGTAAAGTGTCTGCCTACAGTGCGGAAGACCTGGGTTCAATTCCTGGGTCAGGAAGATCTCCTGGAGAAGGGAATGGGAACCCACTCTAGTATTCTTGCCCCCTCCCCAGCCCACAAAAGGGGCTCAAAGAAATATTTTGTCCTACCTCCTTTCAAAGACAATGGGCTGCCTTTCTGGGTGCCTGGTGTCCTCTGCCAGCGTTCAGAAGTTGTTTTGTGGTATTTTCTCAGTGTTCAAATGATCTTTTGATTAATTTGTGGGGGAGAAAGTGGTCTCCCCGTCCTATTCCCCCACCATCTTCGGACCACCCCACCCCCGTTTAGGTCTTGATTGCCAGGTTTCTCCACTGTGCAGTTACTGTTTTTTTGCTTTCACTGCTCTGATTTTTCGAAGTAAGTCCCTAAGTCTAGCCTACCCTCAAGGGTGTATGTGTGAGGGTGGTAGGCCAGAATTAAGCTCTACTTCTTGGATGGGGGAGTATCTACATGTCTTTTTTTTTTTTTAATTCTTCTGTGAGAAAGATTTGTTTCCCTCATTTATTTATATAATTTATTTCCATGAGTGTAGTTTTATATATATATATATATAGTATTATAATCTAATGTGGTATTATTTATTTTGTTGGATTTCCAGCTTTGGCCAGTGGGGCTTTCAGTGTGTTCTGTGTCCCAGTGACATGCCCCTGTCCTTTCATTTTTTTGAGCATTTTCATAGTTTTTGGTGCTCTATGATGTTCCAGGCTTATACTGAATTTTTCTTTCCCGGTCATAATATCAATAGTTTCTACATGGAGTCCTGGTTATTTTACTGGAGAATGATATTTGTAAATCAAGCTCTGGGCACTGAGTGTACTTGTTGCTACAAGTGTTCACTTTCTTCATATTTGTTATTTTTCCAGCTTCCTTCTATTACTGATTTCTAGCTTCATTCCATTGTGGATGAATAGACTCAATATGCGTGGAAGTTGTTGAATCAGTTAAGAATTATAAACGAAAGTTTAGAAACACTGCCTTAAATAGTGGTGCAGTGGTTTTCATGATGTCATCCTGGACCAGATGTTCTTTCTTTCTGGAATCTATTGTCAGCATATGCATGTTAGTGTACAGTAACAGTGAATGAACTCTTACTTCTAGGAGTCACAATGTGTTCCAGGCAGGAAGAAGAAAGGAATAAAGGTTGACCAAGTGCCTGTCAGCTCAGTCTGCCTGTTTTAAGATATACTCTTAGAAGCTTCGTCCAACAGTTTTCAATTATATGTAGTTGGCCAGAACCTTGTTACATGGCCACTCCTGTCTTTTAAAGGAGGCTGGAAGATGTAGCTTTTTGAGTAAGGGACATTTTTGCTCCAGGGAAGGCAATGGCACCCCACTCCAGTACGCTTGCCTGGAAAATCCCATGGATGGAGGAGCCTGGTCGCCTGCAGTCCATGGTGTCGCGAAGAGTCAGACACGACTGAGAGACTTAACTTTCACTTTCATGCATTGGAGAAGGAAATGGCAACCCACTCCAGTGTTCTTGCCTGGAGAATCCCAGGGACCGGGGAGCCTGGTGGGCTGCCGTCTATGGGGTTGCACAGGGTCGGACACGACAGATGCGACTTAGCAGCAGCAGCATTTTTGCTCCAAAAAATTGAGGTTCTTGAAACAATATGTATTTTGGGAAAGTAACTCTCAGTCTGTGTCACAGGGAACAAGAGACTAGTTAAGAGACTCTTGTTGGGAAGAGATGATGGTGACTTATGCTGCAGGGATAGTAGGTGGTGGTAGCATATGATTGGATATTTAATATATTTTGAAGGCAGTAGCCACAGGACTCAATGCTGGCTTATACATGAAATGGAGGAGGAGGAGAGAAAGACTGACGCAGGTTTCTGGTCTGACAGTTCAGTAGAGGTGGCACCATTACCTGAGATGAGGAAAAACAGAGAAAAGCCAAGGTTTTGTGGTTTTTTTGTTTTTTTTTTTTTTTGAGGGAGGAGGGGAGCAGGGAGGTAATCTAGAATCCTATTAGGTATACATTAAATTTGACATGCCTATTATATAGCTAAGTGGAAATCAATGCCCTTCTAAATATTTCTGAGGATACTATTTTGAATCTTTCCAAGGGTCTTTCTCCCCCTGCATTCCTCAGAAATAGCTCTATTTACTCTGGGGTTAGGTCTGTTTATTCTTATTGATCCTTCACTTACATATACTGATTTTCCTCACATATCTGATGAGTTTTGTTGGCTTGCTTTATATTTGTGAATGAAGGAGTATGTTGGCTGTATAGGCATGCTCTGTGTGACAGCAAGCTTCCCTGGAGGGTATTTGGGGAAATAGTGTCAGATTTCATTTTCTTGGGCTCCAAAATCACTGCAGACAGTGACTGCAGTCACTAAAATACACTTGGTTCTTGGAAGAAATGCTATGACAAATCTAGACAATGTATTATAAAGCAGAGACATCACTTTGCCGACAAAGATCCATATAGTCAAAGCTATCGTTTTTCTAATAGTCACGTACAGATGTTGAGAGTTGGACCATAAAGAAAGCTGAGAGCCAGAGAATTGATGTTTTCGAGCTGTGGTGCTGGAGAGAAGACTCTTGTGAGTCCCTTGGACAACATGGAGATCAAACCAGTCAATCCTAAAGGAAATCAATCCTGAATATTCATTGGAAGGACTGGTGCTGAAGCTGAAATGCAAATACTTTGGCCACCTGATATTAAGAACTGACTTACTAGAAAAGACCCTGATGCTGGGAAACATTGAAGGCAGGAGCAGAAGGGCATGACAGAGGATGAGATGGGTAGATGGTGTCACTGACTTAACATGAGTTTGAGCAAACTCAGATAGTGAAGGACAGGGAATCCTGGGGTGCTGCAATTAATGGGGTCACAAAGAGTTGGACATTGACTTAGTGACTGAATAACAACTGTCCTGGATTTTTTAACTCACAAAAGTATTGGATGTTCGCCTAATCAATAATACAGAGTTAAAAGTTAATAGTGTCCTCATCTTTCCTTTTGTCCAGAGTTTTCTCCCTTGAGAAAACAATGTTAACATTTTGTATCCTTTCATATATTTTTCCATGCTTATATATTAGGGGGGAGTTTTTGTTTGTTTTTTGTGTTTTTTTTTCCAAAATGAGATTTTTTTTCCTACTACTTATTCTTCCACTTCCTTGTCAGACATATTTCATTTACCTTTAATTTTTCTACTAAATTCACTTAAAGCAACAAACTTTCAAATGTTAGAATTTAAACTTTTTAAGGGAGATTTTGGAAAATTCAAAGAAAAAGAAAATGAGCAAAAGAACAGATGTGGAAAAGAATGAGATGTATTTGTAGAGTTCCGAGTTAGACACATTTTTCTGGAGGAGAGAAACTGTAGTAGGGAATTCTGAGATACTTGGAGAAATCATTTGGAGTCAGTGTCTGAGGGTAGTGAATAACATAACATGGGAAGCTGCTGAAGATGTAAGAATAAAGTCATGTTATTGACTGCTTAATATTAACGAACACTTAAACCAAAAGTATTTCTTATGAAAGCGTCATTCCTTGAATTATTTTAACTGACTTGATATATAATGAAGCATCTATAGACTAAAGGAGGCAGTGTATAGAAAAGTGATTTATAATACTAAGTGTTCTGCAAAGAGATAGTATCATTTTCTCTAAATGAGTTGGAAGTGTACATGCATCTTATGATATTTTCAAAGCACCACTGTCTTTCACTGCAGTTTTCATTGTGTGGTAGTAGGCTCATCAGATAAAAATTTAGAACGCCTAGGATTTAATCTGGTAATTAGGGCAATAACTTCAACTGCAGATTCTTGTGTAAAACAGAGAGTAGGTCTTGATTATCGCTAAAGTGTCTTCTGGGCTTCCCAGATGGTGCTGTGGTTAAGAATCTGCCTGCCAGTGCAGGAGACGCAGAGATGTGGGTTCAGTCTCTGTGTTGGGAGGATCCCCTGGAGTAGGAAATGGCACCTACTCCAGTATTCTAGCCTGGAAAAGTCCATGGGCATGGGAGCCTGGCGGACTGCAGAGCAGGGGGCCACAAAGAGCCGGACACGACTGGGCGCACACGCATACAAAGTGCCTTCCATCTCCAGAAATTAAGTGTTTCTGTAATTTTCCTGTACACCTTGATTTAGCATAAAGTGTTTCCTTAGGGAGTAGTTACCCATTTAACAATTACAGGTTGAGAGTCATTGAAATTGTTGTCTCAGTATAATATCAGATGCCACTTATTATCTAAAGCATTTCACAACCTTTTAAAACTAGATTACATTTGTTTTAACAGCTCTGTTTTCTTTTCTACTTTTGTTTCTGCTTAAAGTTGCTGAGCATTATTTTGGTTTTACAGATTCAATAGAGAGAGTGTTGTAGTGTCAGGGAAGTGAAGATTATTATACATGTCTGATATAAACTTCTTTTGATTATTAGCAAATTACAGTAGTTATGAGGAAAATATTTCTTTAAGTTTTTAAAATGTTTATCTTTAATAACTATTGAATGAGTAAAATTATCTTGGGAAATATGCTTTCATTACAAGCAGTCTAAAATTAAAGCTTCTCTTTTTAAAAGGTGGTTTTCTCACCAAAAGAATACATTTCACCGTGTTTCAAACCAGAATATACAGAATTCAAACCAGCATATCAGGTGAGTCCTGAGTTTTCTTATCCCAATAGCAATTATACTTAATAATAGGTTTCTCTAATACTTTGTGTAATTCAGTGGTTCCAAAACCAGACTACCCATTGGAAACACTCACCTATCTTTACAAAAATACACATTCCCAGGTCCCACCTCTGACCTAACAAATCTCAGTTTGGAAATGGAGCCTGGAATTTGTATTTTTCAAAAAAAAACAGGGATTCTGATGCTGTCGCCTGGGTATCAATTAACATTTGAAAACCATATGAACTAAAACAAATACTAGGTTGATTATTTCACATTTTGCCTTTAAAATTGAATAATGGAGAAGTTGTATGAATAATGAGTTTGCATAAGAGACTTCATTTTGAAAGGCTATTTCAATAATAGAATAGCCTGATCTCAGAGCTACAAAATTGCCTGTGACTATTACCCTGACATTTCACTGTACTTTGGAACTTTCTGTACTGTTTTCTATAGTTTCTGAGGCATATATATTTATCCAACAGCAAGATTCTACTGTAACATGCTAAGGACATCATTGTTTAAATTCTCAAATGATCTGTGCTCCCAAATCAATCTTTAGAGAATACTTATGATACTTTTAATGGAGTATCTATTACTTGCTTTGCATTTTAAAAAAGTCACCCCCATTGCGACTAAAATATTTATATGGATAGGACTTAGATCATGATGTTAGCTTCTGTCTAAGCAAATTCAGCTAATACTGGAAATGGAATTCTTAAAGAAAAACTATTAATGAGTGCCTTTTAAGTGTTCAAAATCTTTCAGGTAGCAAAAAGCTCTTGAACACAACATAGTATAAGAATTAGGAATTTGAAAAATTTGCATGATTCTCATTATTATTCCAACTTTAAATATTTTAAAAGAATTAAAATTGGTTTTCTCTTGGTAAAAAGGTAGGAAGATGAATAAATTTGAAGATTGCTCAAAGAAAATTAAGTAGAAATTTTATTATAAATTTCAAATGTTTCAGAATTTCTTACCTTTTTTTAAATATTATAATTCCAGAAATTCAACATCAAGAATGGTTTTGATCCTTTTCTAAGGAATATAAACAACAAAATGCCAGTTCAAAAAAGGAAAGACCAAGATATGCTCAAATGTAGAGATATTTTAAGTACAGAGATTATAGAGCATGAAGATCAAGATCCTCCTTACCCAACACATTCAAAAACTGCAAGACCTGCTAATAAAACCTGGCCCCATAATCTTGATATCATTTCAATAAAGGCTTTAGACACTAAGAATAAGTTAGCTGGTGATCCCGGTATCACCACAGTAAAGACTTCAGACCCTGAGAATAATGTGGCCCATGATCCAGGTGTCATCACAATAAAGACTCTAGACACTACGAATAATTTAGCTCATCATCCTAGTATCACCAAAATAAAGACTTTAGACACTAAGAATATATTACAGGAAAGACTACCACATGTTTCTTTACCAAACTTTGAGGGAGACTCATCAGTGACTGAAAAAGTAAATGTACATAAATGTCGCCTCTCAAAATCATTAAGTCTTACTTCCCACATAGAAAATTTAAAACAATCAATGGTGCTCAAGTCAATTTTAAGTAAAAATCTGCAAGACCTTTCAGATAGATTATTTTCTACACCAGGAGTTCCTATGGACCCTGCAGCAAGAAAGAAAAGTTACAGTTCTCCACTTCTAACGGTTATCCATGATGAACAACCAAGTAGTTTGGAAGATAAAGTATTTGAAAAAATTCAAGATTTAAGTAACCGGCTTTCAGAAGGAGGCATTTTAAATTCAAAGTCTCTTTTAAGTAAAATAATTAAAAATATTCCCACAGATTCACTTTCAGAAGGCAGACCAGGAAATTCTCCTGAGGCAGAAGAAGAACCTGTCTCTGAAAAACACTTACAGCCTGGTGAGATAGATTTTCCAATTAAAAAAAAGAGTAGTTTCAAAAAGAAACATTCAAAAAGTGAAATATCTAGCTCAAAACCAGATTTGAATAGCCTTGTATATGATTATGTTATAAAGCAAATATTCACTGCACCGATCTTCTCAGAGTTGGCGAGAGGAGTGAAAGAAGCAAGTGAGACACAGATAGACTCGCAGAGTCAGTTACCCACAGCTTGGGAGAGTTTGCTCTCTTCCAATGTTCCAGTTCCCCACTATGAAGAAAGCAATAATGAAATAGAATTTCCACCAGCCAATTCTGTTATAAGCCAGATAATACAGGCATTTCCTGTAAATACTCTTTTAGAATCAGGGGTAATCAAAGTGATGGAATTAGATAAAGAATACCAGAAAGGTTTTTTGCTGGATAAAGAGACAACTTTTGCTGAAGAAAACCCAAAGGATTCCACAGAATATTATTCAGAAATCAGAGGCAAAGCAGAACCTCTTTCAGACCAGAATTCAGCCATCATTCACCAAGAAACCACTTCTTCTTTTAAAAGAGTTGAATTCATAGACAAAGGCCAAAATACATCCTCACGTGAATCAAAATACCAGTCGACACCAGATAAAAAACAAGATTTGCCAAGTAATGGTCAGAGACTTGATAGAGAAGAAAATGATACAAGTTCTACTTTAGAAAACTTAAGTACCTCATTAATGGGTAAACTTAATGACTCTGATGTAATAATGTTAAAATCTTTTTTGAAAAACATATTTAAATTTTTTTTAAAATATAATCAATCTGAAAACAGACCACCAGAAAAAGAATTAGAAAGACTAATTCAACATCCTTTTCCAAATAAGACAGAAGACTTTGAAGAAATCGAAGAGAATTTTGATAAAGCAGACAAATTGGACAGAAAACCTGTTTTGAATCCAAAGCTCCGTATATTTCTAGAAGAACTCTCAGAGTCAGAAATAAAAAATTTAAAATCTGAATTAAGTAAACATGTCCAGCATTATCTTGTAGAAAGGCTTTCAGAATCAGGACATATCACCAAAGAAGACTTACCAAAAATCTATCAAAATCTGTATTTGATGAATGAGAAAGTAGAACCAAAAGGACAAAATATTTTTCTGGAGAAGTATTCAGAAACTGTAAAAGAAATCATGTCTTTCGTAAATAATTTTAATCATCATTTCATAGATAAACATTTGGAAATAAAACTAAGATCTTTTTTAAGTGAAATTCTCCAAAACTATTTCCTGAAAAACCTTTCAGACAACAGTTTATTTAAAGAGACAGAATCTGACCCTATGTGCTCAAAAGTATCTTCTCTAAGAGCTGAAAGTGCCTCAATATCTTTCCACGAGTTAGGACAAGACACTTCAAGCGGGAGTTTTGGCAGTAGACTTGAAATAAACATGAAATATCCCTTAAATAAATCTCTACAAAGCTATCTTATAGCTTTATCAGAAAATGAAATCTTAGATCTAAAAGCTGATTTAAGCAAACACCTCCAGAGCCTTTTTATAGAAAAACTGTCAAAATCAGGACTAATCACAGAAAGGCAATTAGAGGGGATAAGCCAGCACATAAATTTGGTTAATTTTAGTTCCACACCACTAAAATATATAAACCCAGATTTGTCTTTAAGAGATGAAAATCAGTTTGTGGAGGAGCATTCAGAAAAGCAAAATAAATATTCAAAAATTGCTCAGAAAACCACTTTACAAAAAGTTCCCAAGGATAGACTTGTAGAAACAGAGTTGACCAAAAAGGAAGAAAAAGAACTTTTTTCCTTAGAAAATATTAAAGAAAATCCACCAATAATTCGGGGACAGAAAAGACATTCTCAAGAAGCTAAAATACTGAGATTAATTAAAGTACAACCCTGTTCCAACAAAAACACTCAGGTGAGTCCACTAAATAAGTCTTCAGAAAGACTTACAGATACAGTGCCTAAGAAAAAAAAGAAAGAACATGGTTTCATGCAGTTTCCTCATAAAGAAAATTTTGAATTTAAAACTGAGACTCAAGACCCGCATAATTGGAGTGGTAAATCAAAAATAACTCAATCAAAGGCTTGCTTTGAAAAGACACTAAAAATGAAGTCTCTTGACAAAAAGAATCACAATAACACCTATAAGTTGATGGTACAGGAAAAACCTGAAGCAGTATTGTCACCATATCAAAGAATTCCTAATTGCAAGATGCCAAATGAAGATGAGGAATATGTAAACAAATTCACTTTTCCTTCCAGGCAAAATAATATTCTAACTTGCCTCAATTCAGAGGCTGGAGAGAAATCAAAGTTAGAAGACCAGTATCATCAGATATTTAAAGGAAATAATAACAATAATAAAAAACATTTAGAAATATTTGCACATTACAAAGAAGAAATACAAACCCTTTACACCAAACCAAATGAACTTTGCAATGAAAAATGTGCCTGGGTGCCTGAATCACAATTGCTTAAAATTTTGATAGCTGAGAAAAACTCAAAACCATCTCTCTTCCCGGAAGTACCAAAGAGAGAAAATCTAAAGCCCAAGGTCAGAAAAGAAAGAGATCATGTCAGCAAAAAAAAGTCATTTAACAAGATAGTTAGTGTATTACCAACTACACCGCCCAGCACAGGAATCCATCCAAGAAAATCTGTTCCAAGGACATTGCTTCATTGGACTGCAAGAAGAACTACACATGTAATAATATTTTTCTAAATCTTTTATTTCTTTACTTGGCAAAGTTCTTTAGATAACATAGAGTGTATGTGTCTTCATGCAAGTATGTGTGTAACCTTAATTGCCCCAAAATATACAGACCTCCAAATTTTAAAAAATTCTTTTGACATTCAGATATCACCTTGCCTCATTCAAAAGGTAGTCAGAAAATCAAGGGACTGTTAACATACTTAGTGCCTTTGTATAAAATAGATAAAAGGGACCCCCTGCTCCAGATCATAAATTAGAAAAAAGTACTCTTTCCTCCAGGCCAACTCCAGGCTGGCACAGCCTGCGCAGGGTACACAGTTATGTGTATGTAAGACCGGCTGTTTCAGCCCTGACTGACCCCTCAGCCACGGGCTGTTATGCAGCCACGCCTGTGCAACCACGGGCAGTGGCTGTATACTATAGAAAGGCTGGGACTGTCTTTTCATGCATATATACATATAAACATATAGTCTTTTTTCAGATCGCTTAATTTTCTTTGTTTTTAAAACAAATATGAAGCTCCTATTACATGCCAGTTATTCTAAGCCTTAGAGATATGCAGAATTTAGTCTCTTGAATTATGAATTACAGTTTAGCTTAGCTTCTATTCTTTTCTTTTTTCCATCACCACCCCTCTGCCTTGTGCCGAGAAACATGGGAATTCAAATCTATTTTTGATACTAATATAAAGCAATTAGGAAGGTACCTCTGCTATCTGACTTTATACAAACCATTCAAAAGCAGAGTTAAAATCTAGGAATGGAAAGGACTTATTTTAATTTTCTGGAACATTGCTCTCCTCTGTTAGTATATATAAATAGGCATGATCAACAGTTGGGAAAATACAAATTCTAAAATGACATAATATTGATAATTTGATGTGCATATCTCTGAATGAGAAGACAGAAAGCAAATTATTAGCTTTAGTAAATAGTAAGGCAAATCAGTTGCAGGGTAAATATTATCAACATAGCTTATTCTCTCAACTTTGGATTTCTCTTTTCTAAATTCAGTAATTTAGAGTGTGTGTGTGCGTGTACAGGAAAAAGTAAGTAAAAGGTGTTCATAGTTTTTGGAGAGGGAAGACTTTCTGAAGTTCCTTCAGATAAGTGGAATCTTTAATATCACTTTTCCAAACAAAATAAGAAATTATGTTTGTGTTAGGTTGCCCTAATTCTTCTTAGTCCTCCCTCAGTTCTTCTTACTTGGCAGTTGTATTAATCTACTCCCACCTTCTCACCAGATTAGAGCAGGCTTATTCCCTTGGGGTGGCCATTCCCTTGGGGTGCAAGGTTTTAAGTGACAAACTGCTCAAACTGCAAAGGAAACTAGTTTATGCTAATCTGAGAAATTACTAATAAGTCCATACCCTCCTATGGGTACTTACAGATTATTATATATTTTTATTTTTTAATATAAATTTATTTTAATCTGAGGCTAATTACTTTACAATATTGTAGTGGTTTTGCCATACACTGACACGAATCCACCACGGGTGTACATGTGTTCCCCATCCTGAACCCCCCTCTCACGTTTCTCCCCATCCCATCCCTCTGGGTCATTCCAGTGCACCAGCCCCGAGCACCCTGTCTCATGCATCAAACCTGACTATATTTTTAATATAGTCATATTATACCAATTTGGAAAAAAAGAAAACAAAGCCCATAATCCCACCACCCTAAAACAACCATCATTTTTAAATAATTATAGCAAATTTCTTTCCAGTTACTTTCTTAAATGTAAAATTTGTTTAGTCTCAGAATGTACACAAAAATTTTTAATATTTTAGACTCAATTGACATCAGTTTGAGCAAACTCTGGGAGATAGTGAAGGACAGGGAAGCCTGGCATGCTGCAGTCATGGGGTTGCAAAGAGCCAGACATGACTTAGCCACTGAACAACAACAAAAATCACAATAAACATAACCATATAGATGCTGAGCTCTGCATGTGTGTGTATGGATATATCAAAGGTGTTAATTTTTAAAGAATGAATATTGAGATGATTTAAAAAGTGAAATGAGTTCATAATTTATATTTGGGGTTGGGGAAGAGCTAATTTAGAGGAGAATTAAAGGAGGGCTGGCTTTACCTAGGAGTCTGGCCCCTGAAGACAGTTTCTTTAAGATTTCTGGTTTCCAGCTTGATATCTTGCATCTCTTTTGAAACAACAGATTCTTTGAAACAATAAGATTATTTAAAGTATGGTTTCTATGGTATCTGATGGCAGGCATTGAATGTAGGGTCTGAATTTAGGGACCATCTATAAAACATTTGAATGCTCTCATTCTTTGTTGATATTATAAACTTTAGTCCTTGTAAATATAAAATGTACTCTTAAGAAATCTAACTCACCAACTTGATCTTTTATTTTAATGTTTAGGATTGTTCGCATAGATTTGAGGAATTACATGTGACTTCATTTAAGCACCTTGAAAATGCAAAATCAAGAGCAAGACTTTTAGAAAAGAGCCCAGATGATAGCCATAATCAGTTCAAACGCTTTGCAAGACCATATACTGCTCCAGAGGTTAACAAAAGAGGAGAAAGCTACACTGGAAAATTTACAAGTCCTCGAATGGTTTCAGCAGGCTTAATTCATATAAATGATTCAATCCCAGAGTATGAAATCCATAAAATGCGGCCAAAAAAAAAATTTAAAAGAGAATATTGAAAAATGTTCGCTCATTTGTGATATTATCCAAATGTTAAACAGCTCAGAATATGTGAGGCCAACAGAATAGCACTTCTCCAATTAGCAAATGGTTTGGAGATCAGTCCTTTTTATGTGATAGGAGTCAGTAACCAAATTTCATCTTGTTAGAACCATTTTAATTAAAATGAAAAAGAAACACTTTTGATGTAAATGTGTTTTTGTTTATGAACCTTAGGGAACAAACTCAGAAATACATATTCATTAGTAAAGTTTTATTTCCCAGCTTTTCCCCTTTCCACTAGTCTCTTATTTCCCAAATCTTTGCTATGCTCTGAATTATCCCTGAACACCCAGTTTCAGGGTCTCTATTTGCAGTTATGTGTGTTTAGCCTTTGGTATGAATATACTTTAAATCTTGAGCTCTAGACTCAACAGTATGCAACTCCCTGGGCCTGCAGGACATCTATCAATTTCAATATCATCTGATACCACAGCTTTTTACACTATAAAGATAATAAAGAACAGGTGTAATAGTACTAAAAACTGAGGCATCTAATACACTGGAGTGACTTTCTAACTTCGACTATGAAACAGCCTCTTTGATAACACAGAACTCAGGAAGAAACTGTATAAAACAGAAACTGCATTAAAGTATCTAGCTAATCAGCATAGGATTTAAACCAAGAGATTGGTTCTATTCTTACCAAACACAATATCTGAATATTGTTAAACTTTGGTTTACTCTTGAAAAGCATTTCAATTTATAGAATTTTTGTCAGTTTCCATTTTCTACTATAAATCATGAAGTCTATGGAGTTCAAATAGAATTGGCTGATGTAAAATATAATTCCCGATCACTCATTTAATAGCATAATCAAAGTAGTAATTTTGGGAGGGAGACCAATAATTTCTCAAAGTTGCCAGAGCATGTATCAATCAGAGTATGACTGGGAAAGCACAAACACCCTTGGATCTTCCAAGTAGAAGGAACATACGGAGTTGGTTTCATGGGTAATGGAAAACAAGGCTAAGAAACTAAAAGGGATGATGTGGCAATCCAGAGATTGGCAAGAGGAGAAAATACCAGCCCTCAGGACATCAGGAAGCAGTGGTGTGACCCGTGTCCTAAAGCCAGAAGTCAAAGACCAGACCAGAGAGAGACACCACAAGAAACAGGGGAGTGGGGCAAGGGGTGAGAACTGTTCTCTCCCCTGCCCTCTGAAAGTGTTCGTCGCTCAGTCATGTCCAACTCTTTGCGACCCCATGGGCTGCAGCCTCTGTCCATGGAATTCTCCAGGCAAGAATACTGGAGTGGGTTGCCATTCCCTTCTCCAGGGAATCTTCCCAGCCCAGGGATTGAACCTGGATCTCCTGCATTGCAGGCAGATTCTTCACCGTCTGAGTCATCAGGGAAGTCCTGGAAACTGGGAGAGTGAGGCAGCATGGGATGTTTACTTTCCAGTGAGGCAGAGCAGCGGAAGCATGGAGAAATGTATTTGACAGCTAAGAGGCAACTAAACAACACTTATGGAGAAAACCACTGATCTAGCTTACAGTAAGGCCTTCCCTGGTAGCTCAGCTGGTAAAGAGTCTGCCTGAAGTACAGGAGACCCCGGGTTGACTCTTGGGTTGGGAAGATCCCCTGAAGAAGGGATAGATGAGCCATTCCAATATTCTTGGGCTTCCCTGATAGCTCAGATGGTAAAGAATCCACCTGCAATACAGGAGACCTGGGTTGGGAAGATCCCCTGGAAAAGGGAACGGCTACGCACTCCAGTATTCCTGACTGCAGAATTCCATGGAGAGAGGATCCTGGCAGGTGACAGTCCATATGGTCGCAGAGTCAGACATGACTGAGCGACTTTCACTACTACTAGCTTGCAGTAAAGGAGGAAATAACTTACTAGATGGAAATCTCAAGTCACTTTGCCTCATTAAACTTTTAATGGCAATACTGTGACACAGTCAAAAATTTACCATGGAAATAAATTTTTTTCAAGCTTTTTTAAGAAACAGCAAAAGCAGAAGACCCATGCCCTTTATTCAAAGAATCCCTTAAATATTTGTTAAATGTCTAATGACAAACATTTTGCTAAACACTATATACTCGTGAATAAGACAATGTTCTCAAGACATCCTCAGTATACTGGGGACATAAAACACAGAATTAGTCACAAGTGTTGTTGCAGAAAGTACTGTAGAAACTCATGGGGGGACATTTTGTCCAAAGTGGCTGGGCTAGTTTGGATCCTTCAGAAAGCAGATACCAAGATGAGATCAGTCATGTATGGTAAGCAGAATAACTGTCCCCCCCACCCCCAGTCAACAACATATCTACAACCTAATCCCAGGAACCTGTGGCCATGTTACCTTACATGGCAAAAGGTACTCTGCAGCTGTGGTTAATGATCTGGAGATAGAGAGGCTATCCTGGATAATCTGAATTGGCCCAACATAATCAAAAGGGTTTTATAAGACAGAAGCAGAAGGGTCAGTCAGAGAGAGACAGAGGTGCAAACTCTGAAACAGAAGCTGAAGTAATGCCTGTGAAGCAAAGGAAGGCTGGTAGTTTCTAGAAGCTGGGAAAGACAGCAAATTCTTGAGAGTTCACAGAAGGAATGTAGCCCTGCCAAATCATTTTACAATTCTGACCTCCAGAACTGTAAGGTAATAAACTTGTGGTTGTTTGAAGTCACTAAATTTGTGTTGTTATAACAGTGATAAAAAAAAAAACAACTGATACAGCATTCCAGGATCCTCAGGAACCAAATTTAAGGCATTCACTCTCAGGATGAGGCTGTTAATTACCATATCTACTTCTGTTGTTGTTCAGTCATGTCTGAGTCTTTGCGACACCATGGACTGCAGCATGCCAGGTTTCCCTGTCCTTCACTATCTCCCAGAGTTTGCTCAGACTCACGTCCATTGAATCAGTGATGCCATCCAACTATCTCATCTGTCGCCTCCTCCTTCTCAGGCCCTTAATCTTGCCCAGCATCAGGTTCTCTTCTAATGAGTCAGCTCTTCACATCAGGTGAGCAAAGTATTGGAGCTTCAGCATCAGCACTTCCAATGAATATTCAGGGTTGATTTCCTTTAGGATTGACTGGTTTAATCTCCTTGCTGTCCAAGGAACTCTCCAGAGTATTCCCCAGCACCACAGTTCGAAAGCATCAATTCTTTGGTGCTCAGCCTTCTTTATGGTCCAACTATCACATCTGTACATGACTACTAGAAAAACCATAGCTTTAACTGGTTATGGGATGTTTAATATTTTTGTTTTTTAAAAAAATTAACCATTTTTGTTTTTAAAAATTCTTTTCTTTTTAATGGGTGCACATGTGTTCCCCATCCTGAACCCCACCTCCCACCTCCCTCTCCATCCCATCCCTCAGAGTCATCCCAGTGGACAAGCCCTGAGCACCCTGTCCCATGCATCGAACCTGGACTGGCGATCTGTTTCACATACGATAATATACATGTTTCAATGCTGTTCTCTCAAATCATTAACTAAAAAAGTTAATCATTTTTTAAAAATTTATTTTAAATGGGATATAATGGCTTTACAATATTGTGTTAAGTTTCTGCTGCACAACCACGTGAATCAGCTGTAAGTATCCGCATGTCCCCTCCCATCCCAGGCCCCACCCCACCACTCCAGGTCAGCACAGAGCACGGGGCTGAGCACCCTATTACGCAGCAACTCCCCACTAGCTATCCACCTTACACACAGCAGCATGTGAATGTCAGTGACACTCTCTCAATTCGCCCTACCCTCTCCTTCCCACCGTGTGTCCACAAATCCACTTTCTATGCCTGCATCTCTTTTCCTGCCTTGCAAACAGGTTCATCGGCACCATTTTTCTAGATTCCATATATATATATATATATGCATTAATATACAATATTTTTCTTTTTCTGACTTACTTCACTCTGTATGACAGATTCTAGGTTGATGCACATCACTACAGCTGACCCAGCCTCATTCAATTTCATTCCTTTTTTGTTCCTTTTAAGCTCTGTGATGACCTGGAGGAGTAGCATGGGGAGCTGGGGTGGGAGGAAGGAGATTATACACACACACACATATAGCTGATTCACACTATCATACAGCAGAAACTAACACAACATTGTAAAGCAATTATCCTCCAATTAAAAAAATACCTTATAAATAAATACACTACAGTTACCAAAGGGTTAAGCAGGTGGAGGGATAAATCAGGAGTTTGGGATTAACAGATACACACTATGTAAGTAAACAATAAGGACCTACTGTATAGCACAGGGAACTATATTCAATATCTTTTAGTCTATACTAGAAAACAATCTGAAAAAGAACATGAGAGAGAGAGAGAGATCACTTTGCTATACACCTGAAACTAACACATTGTAAGTCAACTATATTTAATAGTTGAAATAGTTAAAATAGTTAAATAAATAAAATAGTTAAAAAAAAAATCCACTGGCTTTGTTTCTCTGGAGAACCCTAATACAGTGGAACTGAGGCACTGTTCCTTGGCCTCCGGTCACCTTTTGCAGTACACATACTGACTCTCCACACAGATTGGGGAGAATTTCCTCCATGGTTCCTGTGTCCCTTGCGGAGGGGAATTTAGGAGGTTAGTGGAATGAACTGTAACGCCCCTGCCCCCCCCGACGGCCCCACCTCAAGGCTTCAGTTGGTACTTGTCTCCTCTCTCCTCCACGCTGGCAAGTCTTGGAGGCTTCCTGATGGAGTAACCCAAACATCCTTGAGGGAGGCTGGCCAATAAACATGAAAAGTTTTGTGTTTTTAACTATTTAATTTGTATATTATTTGTCTCAGTGTCAAGTCTTAAAGCAATCATTTAAACATAATTTTTAATGTAATGTCAAGTGTATGCAAATAAAATCTGCTGAGGTAAACCCAACTTATCACAGTCCAAAATACATACTCCCGTTAAGACAGCATATCCCCTTTTGCTAACAAGGTAAAACCTCAAGTTCTCTATGTCCTATGTTGTACCCCCTACAGGAGCAAGAATAATCATATAAAGGGCTGGAAGATCTGCTTCCACTGAATCAAATACCAAGTTGTCCCCAATTCAACAGGTTATATAAGTGTATCTATTTCTCTGAGAAAAAGCTTTCCTTGGCAACAAATTAGAATCTTATGTTTTAGCTCTGCCAAACCACACAAAATTATTAAGTATAAACTCAATTCAATAAATCTTTATTGAGCTCCCACTGGGTGCATGAATTTAGGATCTATAATTTACATAAGTACAAAAGTGTTACTTCAGCCCCTTAAAAAAAGCAAATTACAACTTCTGTGTATATTTCAAGTGAATCATTTAATGTGAGTGAGGCTCAGTTTGATATTACCAGAAATATTAACAGAAGAAAGTGGGAAAGTATAAGCATTTTCCCTTCTATCAGAAAAGGGTTTGATGCCAGGATAAAACCCTGTTGTTTTAACAATGGCTGATCAAAAAGGCTAGGATCTGGAAGTAAAAAATGTACTTGGAAACACTGTCCTCTGCGGGCTCATTCCCCTGAGGGCAGCAAAATGCTGAAAAATTTAACTGGCTCAAAAATCATACTGAGAGATCAAAAAGAAGAGTTAGTCACAGCTTGGGGAAGAATATTTTTTTCATGTCATCTGTCATACACAGATGACACTAAGTGTAGTTAGAGTAATAATTCCAAAGTTTCCCTGGAGTTGTCAGAGCACTCTGAGCTAACCGAAGGGGCTATAAACTCCTGCTCCTCTGAACAGAGTGGTTTCAAATGATAGATTCTCCAGTGCACCAACTGTATTTTCAAGTATAATTCTAGTACTTGTACCTAGCAATACAGAAGAAAAAGCAGCAGGGAGAAAGTGTCAAGTATATAGGACATAAAAGGATCTGGCAGCCCTAGAATTCCCAGTTTGAGTCTTTTTCATCAGGAAAATCACATTCTGGCTCAGTCCAAGGTGATGCTGGAGACAGTGATATTGATGGCTTGTGACAAGGAGGAGGCAACAGTGAAAGTATGGAACTCTGGTTTTCTTCTTTCATCTGTTAAATAAACTCAAAATAAGGTTGAAGGCACATAAATTCAATACATTAATTTTTTTTTAGATAATAAATAACTTTTAAAGAAGTCATGTTAGAAGTGTTTAAATTGTTTAAGGTATTTTCACTTAAACATGCCTTTGATTCTTATCATCTGAAAACAAGTAGCACTAACCAAATAAACTGATTTTTTTATCAGAGAATTATTTTGCCCTTACATCATTTCTAACCAGAATAGAAAAATACCTCTAAATTAATCAAAATATAAACTTAGAATAAAGTCACACGTGATGATATTCCATTTGTTTTATTTTAGAAAATCTACAAAAATGTTTTGTTTTTAATTTTACCTTGTAAGAAAGTTATTATTAAGAATCTCAGTAACCAAACTGTACCATTAAGCTAACAAAATGATGTGACTTTAACAGTATTAAGAAACATCTAGACAACAAAGATAAATCAGCTCACCTGTTTGAAGAAAACATGGGACAGTAAGCTGCTTGCTGATGGCCTAAAATTTTTTTGAAAAAATTATATTAGAATGTAGATATTTTGCTTTAAACTATTAGAACATAAGTTTAAAGCTATAAAGCTCAATACAAAAAAATTGAAAGGAAAAAGAATATATGTAAAGAGGCCCAATTCTTAGCTTCAACCATGACTAATTAATTCTAGATAGTCTTCAGCTACTCCATGATTTCCCTCATAGCTCAGTTGGTAAAGAATCCGCCTGCAATGCAGGAGACCCTGGTTCGATTCCTGGGTTGGGAAGATCCAATGGAGAAGGGATAGGCTGCCCACTCCATAGGCTGCCCACTCCAGTATTTCTGGGCCTCCCTTGTGGCTCAGCTGGTAAAGAATCCGCCTGCAATGTGGGAGACCTGGGTTCAATCCCTGGGTTGGGAAGATCCCCTGGAGAAGGGAAAGGCTACCCTCTCCAGTATCCTGGTCTGGAGAATTCCATAGACTGTATAGTCCATGGTGTCAAAGAGTTGGACACGACTGAGTGGCCTTCACTAAAATCCCATAGACGGAGGAGCCTGGTAGGCTACAGTCCATGGGGTCGCAAAGAGTCGGACATGACTGAGCGACTTCACTTTCACTAACATTTATTAGGCACTAACTAATTATAACAAGCTATCCTAGGCATTAAGGAGCTTAAAAAAAAAAGGATTAAAAAGACACATACCTTATTTCTAAAATATTAATGCTAACAGTTATCTATGATAATACCAGCAACTAACATTCTTGTACTGCTTGGAAGTTTCTAACATGGCTTAACATAAGCATAGTAACTTATGTCCAGAAACACTAATTTTTGTAAGGGGATTCAGTTAGGAAATGATACAGCGGAGACTGAAGCCCAAGTATTCTAACTTCAAACCTAGTATTCTTCCCATTTCTTCACTGTCTCTACTTGCTTTAGGCACTGGTATTTTCTGGGTTAGTCTATAGTTTTTTGATGAAAAGACTGATAGAAGATTTGAATTTGGCGTGAAGCAAATATCACAAAAGCTTTTACAAAACACGGATGTTTTATGCTATTGAGATCTGACCAGTGTTACCTTTTCTCAGGATCTTGTTGCAAACAGAGCTGTACCAAGCTGAGGAAGGCGGGAGAGAACGTTTTTGAGGAGGGTGTCTGCAATCTGTCACTATTTACTGTGCGAGTCCCACTGGAGACATGTACACTTTCTCCGATCCCAGAGTCTACACCTGATCGGGAATTTTTCATTCTGGATTCTGACTGAGGAAAAATACTGGCATCCAATGGACTGTAGGGAGGACCTTTCAGTTTCTGTAATAACATCTAAAAGAAGAAAATTTTCCTTCAACCTTTTTCAGGCAAAATATTAAAACAGTAACAATGACAGTAAGGATCCTAAGAGTTTAAAAGATGTTTAGAAGAAATTATCTAGAATGTAAGGGATCTCATGAAGCGAAAGTAGTTCAGGAATTTTGGCAGCACTTACCTGTGTCCTGTGCATGTCTTGGAAAGGAACCTGCCCACTGGCCAATTCACAGGCTGTAATCCCAACGCTGTAAATATCTGACTTTACATTATATCCATGTAAATCCTATAGAACAATTAATTTGAAGTCCTTTAGTGTAAATACCCTTTAAAAAGTTACATACATATGCTTTTTTTTGATAAAGGATGGTGAATAATAATGGAAAAAACTCGTGAGAAATCAAGATACACCTAATATTTGGTATACATTTAAAAATTCCTAACAGAATAATTTTGACAAGAAAGAATAAAAAAAGTCTTGCAGTAGGCCTTTCATCAGTCTGAATATAAGGGCACAATTGTCTTTTTGTCAAACTCAGAAGACACTCAAGACGCATAGACAACCCAATGCAATGGCCACACCTGACCTGTCTCAGTAGTTCTGGACTCAGCCACGGCTGCACTGATGTGCTGAACTGTGGGAAATCATACACAGCCCTATGCCTCTGTCCGTGCTTAACCAAACTATGCAGGTGGGACAGGCCAGAGAGGGTCACTAGGCCATCACCAGAAATGAGGATATGGCTGGCTTTAATACTCCTAGAACAAAAAGAAACAATCCTAAATACTAAGAAATTGGCCAAGAAAGAAAGAATAGAAATATGGTCAGAATAAATGCATGTATTCCCTTGGAAATTAAATACTCTTTATAAAATAATGTTTAAAGCATGAAGTTATAAAGTTAAATGCAATATTATCCAATAAAAGATAGCCTCTGATGGTATTAACAAAATTTATAAAGACACGTCTAATATAAAAATTTCCTTTGTCAAATAAATTATAGAAGAGCCTTGTTTTTCATTTGAAACATGGAAAATTGGAAACTAATAGAGCAGGATGGCCAACAGTCTGGTAAAGTATAATAAAAGCTTGATTAATTAGAATACTGTCTGTTAGAAATCCTCCGTTAACCAGAATGCTGCTAAGAAATAATAAACAGTAAGAAAAAAAGCTTATTTAAAAGTAACTTAATTAAAAAGGAAAAAAAAATTCCCAAGTATCTCAGAACAGCACTGTTTTCAACATTCAACCAGTTACTTCTGTACCTACAGTTTGGCAACTAGAGAACTGATATTTAGTATGGTAATCTCAATGTGCTACATACAAAAACACTTAAGAAATCAAAGGTTTAGTTACAACCTGTATATGATATAAACACAACATAAAGCTGAAAAGCAGGAAAAGAAGCTCGCTATTTGCTTAAGAAAAAAAAAAAAACACAAGAGCTAACTAGGATCCCACTCCCCACAGCTTATAGCTGAAACAGGCAGGTTCTAGTATCCTTCATCACTGAGACCTGATCTCAACGAAGGCAGGCATTCCACCCCACTGCTGAGCAAAGCATTTGGCACAGAGGAGGTGGGCTGAATGGTTCTGGTGAATGAACTATAAAATGTAAGCATCTACTATAACTACTGGTCCCTTCCTCCCCCAATATTCATTTGCAAATTTCCTATCCTCCATTTTAACACTCAACTGTTTCTTCCTAAAATCTCCCTAAAATATTTCTTCCTCTCAAATTCTTTCATTTTGTAAAAGACAAATAAGTAAATACCTGTGAATACAGCCATTTTGATGCAGATAGTTCAACCCTCTCACTGCTCCAAAGAGAATGTTCCTTATTAAAGTTTCACTCATTCCTTCAGGAAAGTAAGTCCTCAAGAGTTGACTTGCTGAACCTGAAAGAAACCCCTGAAATCCTCAGATGAACACTAAAATGACTTTGTTTCTATGTTTTAAATGTTCTTATCAACCATCAACACATACACACAAGCTACATTTTAAAGTCTAACCATTTTCCTATGCAAAGGTAATTTTCCTTCAAGAATCTTTAAAAAGACTTTTCTAATGACATACTAGAGATTAGGACAGTGAATTAATAATACTCAATATTACTGAAAAAATACATACTGTGTGAGAATATATATATTTTTAAACCCACAGGCAATCCACAAAAGTATTCTAAAAAATCAAACCTCTAAAATCCATTTATTTATTCAACACACCTACTGAACACTACTTTATGCTAGGCATTTTATGAGTACCTGGGGACACCAAAATGAAAAATACACGCATGATCCTGCCCTTGAGAAGCTCAAATCCAGAGAAGGGAGACAGAAACACAGATGTTTACAATGCAGTTAAATAAGTTTACAGATGCAGAGAAACAAAGACAGGGATGATGTACACAAGTAGAAAAACTACTTCTGCTTGAAGAATAATAGCAGCTCTCCATTGACAGAGAGGAAGGAAACTGAAGGGAAAAAAGACAGCTTGTAAAAAGGCATGGATTTCTTGGAGAAATCAGTGGTGGTTTCACTGATCATAAGAGCCATTACACCTTTTTTTCTGAAGACTAAAATTCAACATGAACCAGATATAGAAATATATCATGAAATCTAGAATTGGCCAGGTTTATAAATTAAAAGTAGTAAATCATAAATCTAAGATCACACTCATCCTTATAATTACATCATCCAGGCTAAACCATGAGTTATTTTACCTAAAATGAGTTTTCTTACCATAGGCCATAAAAGGAGAAATAACCCAAAGCCAGCTGCCAACAGTGAAAACAGTCCAGTAAGTTGTAATATTGGGATGCCGGAAAAAGTGGGATAGAATCACTGCTTTCTAGTATAGACACACAAGAGACAAGACATTTAAACAATGGTTTTTCTTCATGATGAAGATAACAGCAGTAGCGGCAGCTATTAGTACTAGTAATGGAGTTTATTAGTACTAAGCGCTGTTCTTACAGTCATGCCTTTCAATCTCACAACCACTACATGGAGTATGTGGCACTATAATTCCCATTTTATAGAAAAGGCTATTTAAAAACAAGATAGAAAATTTGTTCAAGAGCACCTAATTAATGAAAGTAGGACAGTCTGACTCCAGAGATCATATTCAATAACTGTCCTGTGTTTTCATGACAGAAACATTTAAAAAATACATTAAAACATGAAGATAAAGTCCCTTCTAACATTAAATGATAGAACCATTGTTAATATTTCAGTATAATTTCTTCCAATCTTTTTCTGTTCAATATCCATGTGCACAAATACAATAAATATGTTAAAAACTGAGATAATATCAAAATGAAATCCTTTCTCTCTTTATATCAAAAATGATTAGTGACAATGGAAATAGTATTGTAATATTCCTGAAATGCAATCTGTTAAAATTTATCAATTCAGAAGCTAATTTAACTTAGCTGTATGAAAAAGAAACTGTTTGCTTTTGTTTTTTCTATTTTCCTATTATTTGTAACCAGACTGATGAGGGGTATTTAAATAAATTTCAGACCAGTTTTTCAAATATGACATTCATTTGAAGGAACTTACAGTAGATACCAAAGTCTGAATTTATTTGTTCTTTCATGGATCTGGCTTCCTTTCTTTCTAATTCTGTAATTTTATGTTTATTAAAAGAAAGAAATCTACCTTTTTCTAGCAGAACTACTAATTTGTGAAAAAGAAAAGTTTTTACAAATATATCTCTTCAAATAGACATTAAAATAGATGTATCTTTTTTTTTTTTTCCGTATTGTTACCTGTAAAGCTTTTAGGCGTTCTTCAGTGCAGTTTTCCAGATTTGTGATTTTTATAGTGACCAGTGTTCCTGTAGGAGTATGCCGTGCGAGATGGACAGAAGTCAAGTTGTCAAATCCCCTTCCTAAAATCAGACATAAAATCCATGTTAAAAATCAAAAAGAGAAACTGATGCCTGGACTTTATCAAAATTAACTTTTGCTCTTCAAGAAAACACTGATAAGAAAATGAGAAGGCAAGCCACTGAATCAAAGTATGAACAATATTTGTGTCTGATAGGACTCACATCCAGGGTACCACATAAAGAACTCCTACAGCTCTATAATAAATGACAAACATCCCAATTAAAAATTAGGCAGAAGATTAAACAAGCAAGCCAAAAAAGTAGAAAAGAAATGGCCAATAAGCACATGAAAAGATGCTCAAGACAGAGAAGCACAAATTAAACACAATATACCATTACATACCTATTGTAATGGCTAATACTGTGACTTGATAAACAAGTTGTGACATACTCCAACAATGGAATGTTACTCAGCAATCCCCGAGTCTCAGTCCCCGGCAACCACTGATATAATTTGTTTGTTATGTAAATAGTATCATAAGGAGTACAGTTTTTTAGGGTCTGGCTTCTTTCACTGAGCATAATGCTTTTAAGATTCATCCATGTTTCAGTAGTTAATTTCTTTCTATCACAGAGTAATAACAGGACTTCCCTATAGCTCAAACAGTAAAGAATCTGCCTGCAATGCAGGAGACCAGGGTTCAATCCCTGGGTTGGGAAGTTCCTCTGGAGAAGGGAATGGCAATATACTCCAGTATTCAGATGGTAAAGAATCTGCCTGCAGTGTGGGAGACCCAGATTCGATCCCTGGGTCTGGAAGATCCCCTGGAGAAGGAAATGGCAACCCACTCCAGTATTCTTGCCTGGAAAATCCCAGGGACAGAGGAGCCTGGCAGAGTAATAATCCATCATATGTCCATACCACAATTTATTTATCTGTTCATAAGTTGATAAGGTACTTGGGTTGTTTTCAGTCTTTGGTGACTATGGAAATAAAATTGCCAAAAACATTCTTTAAGTAGACATATGTTTTCATTTCTCTTTGGCAAATACCTTCAAGCAGGATTGCTGGATCACGTATGTTTAGCCTTATAAAAAGTTGTGAAAGTGTTCTTGAAAGTGGTTGAACCACTTTGCATTCCCACAAGCGATGTGTACAAACTGCAGTTGCTTGACATACTTATCAGCATTTGTTGCTGTTAGTTTTTAAACTAAAAACATCTAGAATGGTAATCTATTAACAGACATCTAGTAAATGTTAGTTTCCTCCCTCTCTTCAGTCACCAAATTCTGCCACTTTTATTGTTGGAGTGAAGTTAATCTGAGGTTCATCCCTTTCTCCCAAGTATCAACACCACTTGCGGGAGTCCTGTCCTTTTTCTCCAGATAGACTGACTTCCTCACTTGCCCTACATTCTCAACCAGCACATGCACCAAAACCACTGATGGAGCTACTTCAAAAGCAAGGGCCAAGGTCCTGTTCACCAGAAATGTTGATTCAGTAGGTCTGATGGGATTCATACACTGCAATTTTTAAAACGACTCAGGTGATGAGGATACTTCCGGTTTTAAACCAATGATCTTCTCTGTCTTTCAGGTTATTGTCTGGAACTGCTGCCAATTGTCCTAAATTTAACATTTTATCATAAGAAAGGTTCTACAGTGCAGCAGCTGAGAGCTTAGACCTTATGAAGACAAAAGTCTGCTTTCAAATTACTTAAATTCTCAGAGTCTCAGTATCTTCATCTATAAAATGGGAGGAATAAATGAGTGAGATGAAAAAAATTCATACAAAATGTTCAGCCTAATGACTATTGGATGCTATTATTATCATCATCACTATTCCACAATGTCTCTCTAGCACAGAGTGTGAACTTCTATACACCCCATATAAGGTCTTCCAAACCTCCTTTTTCAGATGTATCCATTTATTTTTCAGATTTCTCTCCTCCTACTGCCTACATTCTCTTTGTTCCTGAATCTAGGCACAGAGCAACTACGTTGATAGTCCTTCCTCAGTCACCTACTGGAGTATTTTTTTTTATCTTTTTTTACTGACATCATCTGAAAGTTCTTTCTAATTTGGGGAGCATTTTCTACCAGTGCTATTTTATTGTATAAAAAGTCAAATCCTTATTCTTTGTCACCTTGACCTTGGCAGGTGAGGGTCAATGATCTAAGCTTAGTCAACTGGAGGATGAAGTGAGTGACAAAGGAAGCAGCGGCAATCAGAATTCACTTAAAACTGATCTAAAATCCCATTTTTAGTAGAAATGTTTTTCAGTTAAGTGTGGAACTCCGCAGTGGGGTCCAGCGTCTGGTGGTAAAAGCATCTGCTCACGTCCATTAGCTGCTCTTACGCTGTGACCCTGCTTGTGGTTCTGTCATGGAGCTTCTCTTGGCTTCTTCCAAGCATATTTTTTCTAGCCAATGATTCTGTGAGTTAGCTCAAAAAATTCCTTCTTTGATTAAGTAGTCAAGACTCCTTTCTGTTGTTTGAACAAAAACCCTGCCAGAATATTTAGTAAACTTTTCCTCATGCTTCAGGATCCAGCCCCTTTTTTGCCATCTTCCTTGACTCTTAGAAGAGTCAAGATGAACAGCGTGATGCTCCATCTTCTCTGTTCCCATAACACTTAGCACAGCTCTACTATAGTACTGTCCAGTGCATAAGACAAAGCTGTCTTTCATGTTTATCTTCCCAGAGAGGATGTGAACTCCTCAAGTGTTTTACATGGCTTTATATCCCTGGCACCTAACACAGTACCTCTTTGCAGTGCTTATCAGATGTTTCTGAATAGTCAGAGCAAATTTTCACATGTATAAGACTATAAACAATAAATCAGCCTGTTCCAAACCTAACTGAAAAAAGTTTCTACTACAAATGGAATTTTAGGTAAGGTTTTAAGTTAAAAGAAAGTAATCTGGTTAAAGGACTGTGACTGAAAAGATTTACATGATTTGATTTAACTCAGACAAATGATTAGAAGTTTCCTACAATAAAGATACAAATAACAAATACTTATTCAGTGTCCTCCTCCTTTACAAGTACTTCAGTGAAAAAGTAAAAATTCTAGAAGGTTATTTTGAAAAAAATCTGACTACTGTTTTAGGACAAATAAAATTAATAGATCCATCTGACTAACACAATTAACATTTAGTTTTATGCTGTGGGTAACAACAGAAAAAGACTGCTTGCAAAATAATCATTTGTCATCAATTTCATTTCTAACAATGATGAGTCAAATAACTGCACTGTAGAATTATTACCTATTTCCACTTGGAGTTCATAGTGAGAAACATCGGTGGAACAGATCACTTGACTGGCGCTAGTGGATGAAGGCAGCAAGGAAAGCGGGGGCTCATCAACCTGCATTGTTTTGAAAACATGGAAACAAAATAGGTATAAACTTTTTTGGTGCCCCAACTGAGTCTCTTACTCCAATATAAAATACTGATATTGTCTTCAAACACACAACTTCTCATTAGGAAGGTAATGAAAGGTGGCTTAAGAGACTATTTTAAGATCCAAAAAGGATTCACAATAGCTAACAAGTTATGCCTATCAGCCTGTGAAGCAGGATAGGGCTGGAGAAGCAGATTTACAGGTAGTGAAGAACACTTTTCAGCTCAATTTTCAGGAAGCATTGTCAGGAGCTGCTAATATTGGCTGTTGAGCCCTTGGGGTATCTAACAAATATATCAAGGGAAGAGATGCAAAGACCTATGAAAAATATTCTATTCTGTTGTTCTTGCTTCAAGTGGTTGCCAGTTACAATCATTACACATATAGCTATTCTGCTCAACTAGTGGAGATATTAACAGTCAAGGAACAATTTTCACACTGTGGCTTATTAAAAGAAGCTGAAGAAGTTTTTCACAAGATGAGGTGAATCAGAAGAGAGGTCAGAAAGAAAAATAAACCTCAAGAGACGGGAGAAAAGAATAGGGTATAGAAGTCCTGAGTTAATGACCAAGCACCACTGTGGTCTTTCACAGGGTACTATGCAGTCAAGAGTCCCAAGTCTGCACCAGGTGCCAGGGAGAGTAAAATAACGTGCATGCAGGAGAAACAAGCTGGTGCCATATGACAGCCAAGAGGATTTCCAGAAGACACCTAGTAGCCTTTACAGGCACCGGCAGGTGGCAGGAGTCTTGTTGCACCTCCAAGGTAAAGAGAATGAAGGAACTTAGAAATGACATTACTATGTTCTAGGAATTCTGCTAGCCACTTTTTACATTTGATTCTACATGTCCCCTAAACTTTTAAGAGAGCAGAATATAATTATAAGATCCTGGCAAAAGGTAAATAAAGGTGAATAGTCTTCAATAGGGATAAAAGGCTGTAAAAAAGAAATTGTACCATATGACTAGAAATAATCCCAATGAAGAAAGAAATCTAAAAAAACCAATTCAATTTCTTTAGAATAGTAGTCTTATTAAACTCAGATTTAAAGAACACTATAAGAGAGAGAATGAAGAGCATATAGCAATTTTTTAAAAATTCAAAGTGATAAGCTGTAAGTCTGTCAGGAAGGCTAGAGCACAGAATGAACTGAGACTTAGAGTTTACTGCTAGAAAAAATATGGCATCAGATTATTAGATGATGGGTTGAAATCAGGCTAATAAACCTCTACTTTGCATCCATCAACTCCATTAGGGAAACAGTCTTCTTTAAACTAGAAGATGCACTTAATTTGTAATTAAGTAGCTGAAGACCAAAACAGGTTGTTTTAAATAGGTTCAAACCTCCAGATCAAAGACAATTTCATCTAGGATATTAAGTCTGCAAATACAGTAGAACTCAGGTGAGAAACCAGAATAGAAACAGTCAAACATTAGCTCAATTTTGAGAAAAGGGAAAAATTATAAAAGGGAAAGCTTGATACTGTTGCCCAGTAAGGTCTTGTATCAAATGACTACATAGACAGTTATGGACACTTAAGAAAACAATATTAGCAGTCACAAGAAGACAAAATAGGTTTACTAGGAGTAAATCATTTTAACTGCAGCTCTCTTTTTGATTTGATAACTAGTTAGAGAACTAAAAGCAAAAATCATAGCAGTGTCCTTGTCCTTCTCAAACTTTTAAAATAACTTTCTAAAAATTCAAAAGACTTGGTTAATGAATAGTCTAGAAAAAAGTGATGAAAACAATACCATTTATAATAGCATCAAAAAGAATAAAGTACTTAGAAAGTAACTTAACCAAGGCAGTGAAAGGCCTGTACAATGGAAACTACAAAATGTTGTGAAAAGAAATTAAAGAAGACATTACTGAATGGAAACACAGCTCGTGTTTAAAGACTGTAAGATTCAATATTATCAAAATGCAAAGCACCTCAAATAGCAAAAACACGTTGAAAAAAAATTGGAAGACTCACTCTTTCTGATTTCAAAATCTACTACAAAGCTACAGTACTTAAAATAATGCGGTACTGACAGAAAGACAGACACATAGAGCAACAGAACAGAGACCTCAGAAATCAACCCTCACGTATATAGTCAAATGACTGACAAGTGTGCCAGCATGATTAATAAGGCTAGGTCAGTATTTTCAACAAACAGTACTAAGAACACTGGACATCCAGATGCAAAAGAATGAAGCTGGACCCGTACCTAACAAAAACTATCTCAAGATAGATCAAGAAAATATTTGCAGGTCATATTTCTGATAAGATGCTAATCAGAGTACAAATTGAACTAAAACTCAAAACAAAATAAAACCCACCAACAACCCAATTCAAAGATGGGAAAGAACCTGAACAGTCATTTCTCCAAGAACACATGTATATGGTCAACAGACGCATGAAAAGGTGTTCAACATCACTAATCATTCAGGTCAGTTGTTCAGTCATGTCCGACTCTTTGCAACCCCATGAATCATAGCACGCCAGGCCTCCCTGTCCATCACCAACTCCTGGAGTTTATTTTACTCAAACTCATGTCCATTGAGTCGGTGATGCCATCCAACCATCTCATCCTCTATCGTCCCCTTCTCCTCCTGCCCTCAATCTTTCCCAGCATCAGGGTCTTTTCCAATGAGTCAACTCCACACGAGGTGGCCAAAGTATTGGAGTTTCAGCTTCAACATCAGTCCTTCCAATGAACACCCAGGACTGATCTCGTTTAGGATGGACTGGTTGGATCCCCTTGCAGTCCAAGGGACTCTCAAGAGTCTTCTCCAACACCACAGTTCAAAAGCATCAATTCTTCGGCACTCAGCTTTCTTCACAGTCCAACTCTCACATCCATACATGACCAATGGAAAAACCACAGCTTTGACTAGATGGACCTTTGTTGGCAAAGTAATGTCTCTGCTTTTTAATATGCTGTCTAGGTTGGTCATAACTTTCCTTCCAAGGAGTAAGCATCTTGTAATTTCATGGCTGTAATCACTGTAATCATCTGTAGTGATTTTGGAGCCCAGAAAAATAAAGTCAGTCACTATTTCCACTGTTTCCCCATCTATCTGCCATGAAGTGATGGGACCAGATGCCATGATCTTAGTTTTCTGAATGTTGAGCTTTAAGCCAACTTTTTCACTCTCCTCTTTCACTTTCATCAAGAGGCTCTTTAGTTCTTCTTCACTTTCTGCCATAAGGATGGTGTCATCTGCATATCTGAGGTTATTGATATTTCTCCCGGCAATCTTGATTCCAGCTTGTGCTTCCTCCAGCCCAGTGTTTCTCATGATGTACTCTGCATATAAGTTTAATAAGCAGGGTGACAATATACAGCCTTGACATACTCCTTTTCCTATTTGGAACCAGTCTGTTGTTCCATGTCCAGTTCTAACTGTTGCTTCCTGACCTGTATACAGGTTCCTCAAGAGGCAGGTCAGGTGGTCTGGTATTCCCATCTCTTGGAAGAATTTTCCACAGTTTATTGTGATCCACACAGTCAAAGGGTTTGGCATAGTCAATAAAGCAGAAATAGATGTTTTTCTAGAACTCTCTTGGTTTTTCAATGATCCAGCAGATGTTGGCAATTTGATTGCTGGTTCCTCTGCCTTTTCTAAAACCAGCTTGAACATCTGGAAGTTCACAGTTCACATATTGCTGAAGGCTGGCTTGGAGAATTTTAAGTATCACTTTACTAGCATGTGAGATGAGTGCAATTGTGCAGAAGTTTGAGCATTCTTTGGCACTGCCTTTCTTATCTAATCATTAGGGAAATGCAAATCAAAACTACCATGAGACAGCAACTCACATCCTTTAAAATGGCTACTATTAAAAGGCAGAAAATAATGAGTTTTGGAGAGAATGTAGAGAAACTAGAACTCTTATGCACTGCTGGTGGGAAGGTAAAATGGTACAGCTATGGTGGAAAACAGTTTGGTGGCTCCTAAAAATTTTAAATAGAATTACCATATGATCCAGCAATTCCACTTCTGGGTATGTACCTAAAAGAACTGACATCACAATCTCAAAGAGATTTGTATACCCATTTTCATAGAAGCACTATTCTTCACAATAGCTGATATGTGGAAGCAACCCAAGTTTTCAACAGCAAATAAATGAAGAAGCAAAATGTAGTATATAAATATAATGAAGAATTATTCAACCTTAAAGATTAAGGAAATTCTTCAATATGCTGCAATACCAATGAACCTTGAGGATATTATGCTAACTGAAAATTCTCAGTCAGAAAATAATAAATACAGTACTTATATTGGTACTTAGAGCAGTAAAATATCAGAGATAGAAAATAGAATTGTGGTTTCCAAGAGGTGGGGAGTTATGGAGATGAATAGCAGTGATGGTAGTACAATATTATGAATTATCTGATGCCACTGAACTATATCCTTAAAAATGGTTAAGATGGTTTATAATAGCCAGGACATGGAAGCAACCTAGATGCCCATCAGCGACGAATGGATGAGGAAGCTGTGGTACATATACACCATGGAATATTACTCAGCCATTAAAAAGAATTCATTTGAATCAGTTCTAATGAGATGGATGAAACTGGAGCCCATTATACAGAGCGAAGTAAGCCAGAAAGATAAAGACCATTACAGTATACTAACACATATATATGGAATTTAGAAAGATGGTAACGATAACCCTATGTGCAAAACAGTTAAAGAGACTCTGATGTATAGAACAGACTTGTGGACTCTGGGAGAAGGCGAGGGTGGGATGTTTCAAGAGAACAGCGTCGAAACACGTATATTATCTAGGGTGAAACAGATCACCAGCCCAGGTTGGGTGCATGAGACAAGTGCTCGGGCCTGGTGCACTGGGAAGACCCAGAGGGATTGGGTGGAGAGGGAGGTGGGAGGGGGGACCGGGATGGGGAATACATGTAAATCCATGGCTAATTCATTTCAATGTATGACAAAAACCACTACAATGATGTAAAGTAATTAGCCTCCAACTAATAAAAATAAATGAAAAAAAAAAAAAAACAAGGCCAAAAAAAAAAAAAATGGTTAAGATGGCAAATTTTATGTTGTACGCATCCTACCACAATATTTCCCCTACTCCTTGCCCCTGCTGGAAAAAAAAAAAAAGCAGCACTTGTGGAAGTTTCCTGAGTTCTAGGCATCTCTCTTAGTAACAGCAAAGAGCCAACATCAGACACTTTACTTTCTAAACTCTGCCTCAGTCTGAAGGGTAATACTCGAATGGAAACTAGGACTGGATGCTGTATTCTATTGTACAAAAGGGTCTGTAACCAGAAGACTTTAAAGTATCAGTGAGTAAAAAGTGAAATGACAAAAATGATGACAACGGAAGATAAGAGCAGGATAAATTTATAAACAAAATTAAGATTACTCTATTTTGTAGGACTAAGGTATTTGTAAGGCAGGTTCTATTTTATAGAAATAATTATAAAATAAAGATTTAGAGATTAAAGGTGGAAAATCCCAGAGAAACATTTATTTATCAGCATGTTTCTTTAAATATTATTTAATGTATCAGTTATTACCCAGGGATGATAAAAAAGACAGGATGCCTATTTTTGGGGGCTCATGTGGACAGACATACATCAATCACTGTGAGATTAATATAGTAAATGCCTTTTATGAGGATGTCTGAGATCTGAAGGAGCATAACAGAATTAAAGATACAAGAGCAAAGGCTTCAGATGTGATATTTGAGCCAACTCTTTAAATAAGAGGACGAATTTTAGAGGCAGAAAATCAAGAAAGGTATTTCAAGCAGAAATAAAAGTATGTGCTAAGACTCTGTAGTAATAAATGAAACTCAAAAATCAGACATATTCCATACCATTCAAAGTCCTTATACCACATTAAGAAATTTAGATTTTATCCCATAGGCTTTAGGAAATCAATGGCAATTTTAAAGCTGGAAAGTGGCACAAACAGGCCTGTTCAGGTAACAGTGTTGAATACTGACCTACGTGGGAGATCATAAGAGGTTATACGCATGACTAGGAAACTAGAAGCAGCGAGTCTACCTGCAATGGTCCAGGTGAGAGATGATGAGATTTGAATAATAACAGTGATCAGGTCAAGGAGTGGATGGACAAGGGCATTTCAGAGACTTGGCATATAACTAGATATGAGGGCAAAGGAAGAAGAGGCATATAACTAGATATGAGGGCATAGGAAGAGGCATATAACTAGATATGAGGGCAAAGTGTGAGGATAACTACAAAGTTCCCAGTGAGGGTGATTTAGCAGATGGATTTTCATTTGCCAAAGCTGGAAATTCAATAGGTCAGTGAGGTCTGAGAGAAGATTAAGGTTTTACTCAAATTGCTATAGAGGTAGCTTTGAAAAGTCTAGCCAGAGGTATTCTATAGACACATCTGATATCCAGGAAAGAGTCAAAGATGCAGGTAAAAATTTGAGAATCATCAGTCCTGCCTGACGACAGGGTCTCCCATCAACCTGAAGGATAACCTTAGGTACCTCTAGACAACCTGAAATCTGAGCAACTGAAACCACAGGAGCCTGCGAGACTGCTTAGAGAGAGTCTGTTTAGGCAGAAGAGCAGATATCAATTGTAGACTTCTGGAGAACAGCTTAAGTAGAGGAAGAAAAAAGAGTAAGAAGAAAAGAAAAAGAGGTAAAGGAGAACCAAGAATTACATTCTGTAAAACGGCGTTACTGGAGGCAGAAGAGGAACATTTGTACTCAACCATTTTCTTACCAAATTTTGATGGGTACTGGTTTCAGACTGTTTTTCAGGTCTGAGTGATTCAACTTGTGTTCGTGAAGTGCAGAAACAATCCTGTAAAGTCAGAAATATATCAAATAAGTGAAAAATCAGTCACACTGTAAGGGTGGCACATGGATACAAAAAAGTTTGTTGACTAGGGTGCGGAACAGAGAGAAAGGGCAACATGCAGGAGCCTGAACTGGAGCCAGGATTCATACTGTGGGGTACACAGCCTGGGGAGAAGGGAGAAGCGGCTGGGTGTGCAGAAGACAAACTTCACATCTGCTGCAGTGTTACTTGGTGCTATCTCTGACTCTTGCTCTCTACCCTGAAGGTAAAATCAATTCATTCTCACTGCAGGTGCTAGTATTTAACTTTTTCATCATCTTTGCAGTTTTCTTCTGAGTACTTAGCTAGAGATTATTTCGTTATACTCACATCATTTTATTTTGATCCTCAGATTTTTTTCCCTCAGGCGTAGGAACCATGTTTATCTATATTTAAACCACATATTGAGTATATTTGGAACCAATGTTGTTTTCTAAAGTGATATAAGATCTCTAACTGACTCAAATCAAATTAAGAGACTTAGTTCCATTATCACAATTTACATTTTCCTGCATTTTAACTCAAGGTTCTATTATCACATACTGTCAATAAATAAATGTAAACACCTAAACATGTTAGTGATGTGAAGCTGATGTTACATTATTTAGGAAGAAAATGTGCCCCCCAAAAAGTATAAACATGCTATATGAAAGAAATTTTTAACTAATGTCAAGCATCTCATGAACATTCATTTTTATATGAACATTAACGTACAATTGGGCCTCTGGTGGCTCAGATAGTAAAGAATATGCCTGTAATACGGGAGACCTGGGTTTGATCCCTGGGTCCTAAAGATCCCTTGGAGTGGGGAAAGGCTACCCACTCCAGTATTCTTGTTTGGAGAATTCCATGGATAGAGGAGCCTGGTGGGCTACAGTCCATGTGGTCACAAAGAGTCAGACATGACTGAGTGACTGACACTTTCACTTTTCACTACTAAAGTATAATATCAACTGAGTGTTTAAGATAAATCCATCCACGTCTACTTAACGGTTTCAGTCACTTAATTAAACTTCCCTTCTCTAAAAAAATGCCATAATTTCTCACTAATCAAACTAATAATTTTCCCAGTTAGCCTAAATTACTGATTAAATTGAATTCCTATAGTATGTATATGTTATCAATCTTACTACAATAATCTTAAATAGATCCCCACCATTTTATGTAAAATTTGCCCCTGAAGAACAGGAGCTAAGAGTGTCTTGATAGCTGTAGAATCATTTCCTTTGCAAATTTCTATTGGTTTGTATAGGGTGAATAAAATGTATAATAAAATGGTTTTTGAAGATACCATTGCTGTTCATATAAAAAATAATCACCAGTTAGGTCATTTATATGTTATTTGGTACTTAAATATATTTTCCAGCATCTACCCTGAATCTTTTACAATAATCATTAATACTCTGTGTGAAAAAGGGTTAACACAGCAGGCCTAAAACTGCCCTCCTTAGAAAGGACTGCTTGTAAGGCTGACACTTGGCTGGAACAGGGACTCGGATTTTGGGAGGGCTCCCACCATTCCTTGATAAGAATGGATCACGTTGCCTAAACTGTTTGTGCAAACAACATGGTTTATGCTGAACACCTGCTTTTTTCTAATAGTGTGGAATTTTGTTACTTGCTGCTCCTTTGAAAACACCATTTCCTACCTGAAACAGACGGTAAACTTTGAACAGGGAAGAATCCTTCATTAACTTTATCTGAGTTGCACAAATATCTCATTGAGGAGAAAACATGAAGGTTTTGATTCAAAACAGTCTAAATATTTCATCATTGCAAGAATATAAACAAATTATTAACAAACTGAACAAATATAAATGACTATCAAATTCTATATTTCAAAAAAAATCCATAATTATGAAATAATAGATTAAGTAAGATGTTTTTCCCCCCGAATTTTGAAACCTGGGCAACCACATCTATCTCAGGATCTTCATCTATCAAATGTCCTTTTACATCTCATCCAGCCTACAAACTGACATGAAATTGTTAAATCTTAGATAATCCTTTAGAGCAGAAACTATGGTCCATGAATCAAATCTGACCCACCACGTGTTTTAGTGTGTAAAGTTTTATAGAAACACAGATACCTTCATTTGCATTTAACTCATATTGCCTATGGCTGCTTTGATAACAGAAGAGTAATTTAATGGAGATCATATAGCACACAAATCCCGCCTGGCCCTCTAAAGAAAAAATTTGCAGATCCTGCTTTAGAAAAATGAGGTAATATTTCACCTCAATGTATTTTCCAGATATATAAAGCTCCCCTTTCAGGTAGATAAAGTTTACTTTAAATACAAAGTGAATGCATTCTATATTTTCCAAATAACCATCAATATAGTCTCCTAACTTCATAGTTCTGCCTCTCAGATTTGACAACTGATGGAGTGAATTGGCAGATATGAGTTTGATCCTTGCCTCTAATTCTTTGCAATCTTAGGCCAAACTCTAAATGAGGATTATACCACCTGCCCTGCCAATCACTAACCAGTCTGAAGACTAAGAGAAATATAATATATTAAAGTATTTGAAAATTACATATGTACCCACTTTTTAAAAGATCACTGCTTTCATTGGCAGGTGGATTCTTTACCACTGTGCCGCCTGGGAAGCCCAAAGTTAGGGAATGCTAAGAAAACTGTATAAATAGCATACCAAAACGTCCTTGTATATGAGTTAGAATAAAGTGTTATTTCAGAAATTTTTTAAGTGTTTAAAGTAAAGCCATCTCTGTGATTGAATTTTTCTATTACATTTGGGTTTTTTAGTACATGTAATTAAATATGGAAAGTTGAGCGATAAAAAAAAAAAAGATCACTGCTTTAATAATTTAAATATTCAAATAACATATTATATTCTATATAAGACATAATGAAAGTCTTAAAACTACTTAATCTAGGCTAGATACCATGGACTTCATATAAACAAAAACCATGTTAGTATCTATACATCATATTATACATTGATTCAAATGTATCTTGTCTTGTTAAGTCAAGGGGCTTATTTTTCCTACTATTTTGCTTGCCTTTAGTCAAATGGAAATCTGTAAAAAGGGATTTCTGAAAGATTTAAAGAATAAGGCTGGATGAAAGAGGTATATCTAAGGATAGTAAATGTATGAGAATAAGTGTGCATGGGACAAAGGAATAGAGGGAATATACCAGAAAAGTATAGGAGAAGCTCTTTTTTAAAAAGACAAAATCTCAGTGAGCATTTAGCTTATGTCTAAAGACCAGAAGTCATTCAGATCAAAATAACATCTCAGAGCATAAGAATATTCCATCAGAGGACGCCTTCTCCTATGGCTTTACATTAATATCTAACTACTCTGCTGATACAAAATTAGATCCACATTTACAAAAACTTACCAAAAGAGACATTGAATCGCTTTAGTTCACAGAAAGTAACAAAAAGCCATCTACTCCAAAGAAGATTTCTGCTTTATCTTCAAGACACTGAAATATCCTAATGCAAAAGACAGAAGCAAAATAACATATTTACATAAAAATTCCTTAAAGATATAGTTGCCAAAACCCACCACTATTTGGGCAACTGTTCTCTGACACAAGGACTACCAACACTTCTGAAAGGCGTTCTTAAAGAGCACTTCTGTTTACCGAACGCCATTTCAGATCTGCTATCACAGGGTATCAGATATTACCCACTCCAGTATTCTTGGGCATCTCTGGTGGCCCAGCTGGTAAAGAATCCACCGGCAATGTGGGAGACCTGGGTTCGATTCCTGGGTTGGGAATATCCCCTGGAGAAGGGAAAGTCTACCCACTCCAGTACTCTGGCCTGGAGAATTCCATGGACTGTATAGTCCATGGGGTCGCAAACAGCTGGACATGACTGAGCGACTCGCACAGATTTCTATCACAAAGGCAAAGTGCAGTTGAAAGGAGGTTCTGAATTTCCAAAGCCTTGATTACCTGCATCTGTTCTTCCTTATCTGTACTACTTTTTTCAAAGAACCCTAAGCAAAATGTAAAAACAATACAAAAAGGCAATTTTGGACCCACTTTTACTACAAATGATGCCCTAGAATTTCCAATGGTTCTACTTAAAAGTAAACTTTGAATCTTCCAAAGCTTCCTTATCAATTCATTACCCATTAAGTCATTTAGGGTCACTGACCAGCAAATTGGGAAAGAATCAGGATTAGTAACAGACTAGGAATTAATAATATTTTCTTCTTGCCATATGTTTACAAAAAAATTTTTTTTCAGTTTTCATATGAAAATATTTTCTGTAGGTTGAATTTTTTTACCTTATGATTTTTAGTTCTCATTTCCATTCTTCTTGGAATTTATTGACAGATATGAAAAATATGCTGATTATTACACAAATAATTCCTGTCCACTCTCACTGATGGCCTATTAATCTCAATCGTTTATGAAGACTCCAACAGATGCAGAGGTTTAAAATAGTAACTCACTAAATTTACATTCAAGAAGCTACAAAAGCACCACCAAAATTTCCCAGATCTTTCTGCATAGAAAGGGTGGCAATGTTCTAAATTACCTAGTGCGAGGTGCTCCCTTACACCTACCCAATTTCTCTTTCACCTAAATTGTGATTCATTATTTCATTTTAATGAAATTCCCAAGTTTGATCAAGGCACCTGCAAACATCTGAACAAATGGCAAAGAAAAGGATTTTGTAAACCACAGAAATTATAGACCAGCATCTAATCTTATTGTTAAGGAAAGAAGTCAATTTGTTCATGATATTTACCTCTGGTCACTACAGACCAAAGGTAAAGAATTAGGTGTGTGTGTTGGGGGTGCGGGGACCTGACAGGGTTTGATTATTTTTGTCTCCTGCCATTCATTATCATCAATATAAGGCACTGATGTTTGCTGTGTTACAAAAGGGATAATGCAATACCTGCCCTGCCCACTTTCCAGGTGGTTCAGATCAAATGAAATGCTTCATCTGAAAGTGCTTTGAATTACCAAACACTGTATCCATATAAGATTAGCTTAAGGAGATGCTCTGAAAGGTACACTCAGTTATTACTGGTGGCAGTACCAAATGGTAGGACTCATCTGGAAAGCATGTTGGCGATGTTTTGATAACCATAAACACATTCATACCTTTTGATCTTATAAAATTCTCACTTCTAGTAATCTAAAAAAATATCCAAGTAAATGAAGAAACCATTGACATGCAGAAAGTAATTACACTATTATCTGAAACAGTCAAATATTCTTACCACAGTGTTTAATGAATGGCTGTCATGGGTCAGGTGCTGTGCTGGGCACTGGGGACACTCACTAATGACCCAGGCAAACAAGGTCCAGACCACTTGCAGCATACATTCCCACAAGCCAAGATTAGAGATGTGGTGATCAACTGCATTTCTAGTTCTCATGATTGTTTTTTGCTTTTTCCACATAATAGCAGTAAGTTCTTTCTTAAACAACAACAAAAAATTTTAACTAGAGTATCCATTTTTCAGGAAAACTCACAAGAAACTGACACAATCTGAGAACTGTCAGTACTAAAGGGGTTGCCCCTGTGCAGGGCTTAATCCCAGAGGATTTTGCTTTAGATGTGACAGACTACTAAGAGATAATTTTATAAGACATTTTGAGGTCAAGGCAGCAGTTGCCCCCGGTAAGGGGCGGGGGGAGGGGGGAAATTTGCTGTTATAATTTTCCCCTGCATGCTTTCACTAGGTATGAATGTCTTTTTGAAAAAATTCAGTTGAGACTTGTACTTCTGAATGTACACGCACAACACTGGTGTGATCTCTCATACTTGTATCTAAAAAGCTAATCAAAAAAAGCTTTGTAAATAAGTTTATTCTAGGTGATTCAGATCAAATGAATTACTTTATCTGAATGAAGAATGGTTCCTCTGAAAACTTTAATCTGAAAAGTTAACACTTTCTGGAACAATCAGAATGCGCAAATTACAGAACTCGGGTTTTGAGTTAATTTAAGCATCCAACAGAGGCCCTTGTTACAGGGAATGTTAAAACGCCCGATTTAACTCTTTGCGGAGCCTTAAAATTACTGTACTTTCCAAAGCGATGTTGGGAACCCATAAAATCTTAACTATAGCGTCGCACAACTCGGTAGAATTTTCCAAACTTAGCATCGTGACTCAAGCTTTCAAAAAATATTTACTAAGCGCCTACTGTGGGCCGGGCTCTTTGCTAGGTACGCGCTGTCACAAATTCCAATCGCGTTTTGAGGGAAAAGGTGCTTGCCATAACAAATCCATGAGGGAAAAACACAACCCTGAACTTCACTACCGAGAAGAAAACACAGCTTGCGTTCAATTCTATAAAAGCTTCCTTCCGAGTCCTGCTTTGGGGGACTCTGTAGCGAACTCGCAGAAGGTGGCACACGGAGCCGAGCCGGAGGGCGTCTCGGGTTTGGAAACGCCACGCGTGGGTGAGTGCAGCCAAAGGTAAGAGCGGGGGTGGGGGTGGCGGGGCCGGAACCGCGCACCTGGTGCCGCCGAGCCCAGCAGGCGCAGCCTACCCACACGCAGGTGCTCTCCGCCGCGCGGCCCAGGACGCCGGGCAGAACCGGAGCTGCGCGGGGCGCAGGGGCCGCTCTTCATGCCGAGCCGCACCCCCGCCACGGCTCCGCCGGCCGCCCGGGCTCCGGCTGGAGGTAGGACGGCGAGTTCTAGCCTCGAGCTTCCCGAGGCGCGCGCGGACTAAGCCGCTCTCCCTCACTTCGCGACCGGCCCCTGAACCTTCCCCTCCCTGCCCGGCCTCCCCTCATTACCCTGGCTGCGACCACGGCCAGCAGTTCTCCTCAGGCGGCCAGCTGTGCGGGGCCTGGGCGCCCGGCCCGCCCAGGGGCAAAGCGAGAGCGCAAGGCCCGCTCCCAGCGCGGGCCGCGGAGCCAAGGGGGCGGCGAGACCCGGACTGGGGCTGTGGGCCTGGAACTCAGCCCCAAAGCCCCGCAGCCCGCCGGGACTGGACTCGCCCCACCCCGGCCCCAGGGTCGCTGCCCCGCCTCCCGCCTCCCGCCTCCCGCCTCCCGTCTCCCGTCTCCCGCCTCCCGCTTCAGGGCTGGCAGGGAGAGGCGTGGCCTTCGAGTTAAGGGGCGTGGCCGAGAGGAAACTACAATTCCCAGCAGGTCGTGCGCTGGCGCCGTGCAGGCTGCTGGGAGAATGGGTCTCCTCCTCTCTTCCCCAATTGTGTGGGGGCTGTCATTGACCTGGCGTCGCTGCAAAACCGAAGTCGCTGAATGATGATGTTGTAAAGTTGCCCGCCCGTCCCTGCCACGCCCAGGTAGTTTTTGGCAGCGGCGGCCGCTCCGGCTGCTGCTCTCCAGCTGCCGCTTCATTGGAGACTTTTCCCTGAGGGAGCTTGGGCGTTGGACCGAGGACGCCGGGTCATTCCTGTGAGTAACCTTTCCGTTTACGACTCGAACTTGCCCTTGCCATCTTCCCTTGAAGGCGGAGGAGCTTCCTCGCCCCGCGCTCCTCCGGGTCCTCGGAGGTCACGCGCGGACCCCGGAGTTGGGGTACCGGAGGACTGGGTCCTCCCCTTGTCTTAGCCCCGCGATGGGAATCGGGTGGTTTCCCAAGTGTAAGTGCTAAGTGATGGGCGTTAGGCTCTGGCCTCGGGGTTCACACCAGCTGCACCTCTCAGGATTGGCAGCATCCCATCCTGTGCCGGACAGCACCCACCTGGTGCCCCACTAAAGCGATGAGCCGCTTTAGTGTCTGGATGTTAAAGCTCAACCCTTGGTTGCCATCTGTGATGTGAGCGAGACGAGAGGGTGTGGAAAAGAGCCCTTTATGTGTTGAGTTGGGCTTTTCTTGCGATTGATTTTGAGCCAGACACCGCACGTCTTTTAAAAGAAAGACACTTGCCTTCAGTTTGAAGCGTAAGTAAGTAATGGATATTAGCAGACGTCCTTAAAAGGACAATTATAATGACCTAGAAATCTTTTGTGTTTAGGAGACTACCTTTACCAGAGTAAAGGTCATTATAATTGTCGTGAATTCAGTTACTTGCCCAAGGACCTTTTATTTAAGCCTGCAGTTTCTGCGTAGAAAACTTAACTTTTCACTGGAAATTCATCAAGCTATCATGGACTATAGGGTAAAAAAAGAAAATGAATTCTTCCAGTTTTGTTTTATCTATTTCAGTGATTTTTTTTCCTGGCCTTCTAATCTTTGCTGTAGAATTGGAAGTCTGAGCTACAGTGATCTCCAAATAGCATGTTACTGCTGGTGTGATGATACTTGGAAAGAAATTGTGAAGGATACTGGTGAGGAGAAAGGGCAAGGATGAAGACACTTGTTTATCTCAGCAGTTATCCCAGCTTTCTGTTGTTTTATCTTTTAATTATGCAGACTTCTTTTTTTGTTGACTTCTGTCTGTGTGACGGAGAAGGCAATA